TTATTTGTCTGTTTGGTTGCTGTTACACAGTTGCCAACTTAATAATTACGGAAGCTACTCAAACGGCAATAACTGAAACTGATGAACAACGAGAAAAAATAATAATAATAATTATATTGTACACAATATAAATGAGTTTTCTGTTGATGATTTCTGTTGACACACGCATAATTGACAATTTCCATGGAAAATCAGCCATTAATAAAGAGTTTACTGAATACACTAGTGTGGTCTGACAATTATATACAATTGCATGTATGATAAAAACCAGGGTTAGAGAATATTAAATATGTAGGCAACACATACAATGATTTTAGTTTTTCGTTAGTCAAATGTTCCAAATTAAGACTAGGGGTCCTTCTAAGCAAAATGGTCTAAGACCATTTGTTACATACATTTCGAACCCTACTACTCAGTCTCTGTCATATCTGTCACTGATCATTGATTACACTTAATTTTTGTCTCTCTCTCCTTTAAATAGTTGTATTGCAAAAAAATAAAAAATTAAACATAAAAATAAAACAATTTGCAATTTCCATGAAAAAGTCATAAAAATTAAATAAACTACTGCCATAATTTTATTTCTTTTTGTTTTATTTTGTTCGTAACAGTTTGTACATTTATATGTGTGTTTTTAGTCCCAATGAAGACCAACAACTAGTCTAAAATCCGTTTACTGAATGTCTGTCAGTAAAATTATATTTAAAGTGAAATTTTGTGTTTTTTTTTCTTGTAGCTTTTTGCGTTGCAACTTTACAGACAACAAAAGTTTTATAATAAAATGTTTATATGAAAAAAAGTCATAAAATCATAATAAATACAAATTTGAGTTTTTGGTTTTTGTTGCTATAATTTTGTGAAAAATGGAACAGGGTAACGAGGAAGATAAAAGTCTGGACTACAGTCTGTTCTATAGTTCTATATAGAATACAGTATTTCTACAGCATTTTCTATAGCCAAGACTACAGTCTGTTCTATAGTCAAGACTACAGTCTGTTCTATAGTCTAGACTGCAGTCTGTTTTATAGTCAATTCTATTGTCTAGACTACAGTCTAGTCTAAAATCTATTCTATAGACTAGACTGCAGTCTATTCTATAGTCTAGACTACATTATATTTTATAGTCTAGACTACAGTCTACTGTATAGTCTTGCCTACAGTCTATGCTATAGCATAGACTACAGTATATTCTATAGTATAGACTACAGTCTATTCTATAGTCTAGACTACATTATATTTTATAGTCTAGACTACAGTATATTCTATAGTATAGACTACAGTCTACTATATAGTCTAGACTACAGTCTATTATATAGTCTAGTATGCAGTCTATTCTATAGTCTGGACTACAGTCTATTCTATAGTCTAGACTATAGTCTATTCTATAGCCTAGACTAAAGTCTATTCTATAGTCTTGCCTACAGTCTATTCTATGGTCTAGACTACAGTCTATTCTATAGTCTAGACTACAGTCTATTCTATAGTCTAGACTACAGTCTATTATATAGTATAGACTATAGTCTATTCTATAGCATAGACTAAAGTCTATTCTATAGCCTAGACTAAAGTCTATTCTATAGCCTAGAATACAGTCTATTCTATAGCCTAGACTACAGTCTATTCTATAGTCTAGACTACAGTCTATCCTATAGCCTAGACTACAGTCTATTCTATAGCCTAGACTGCAGTCTATTCTACAGTCTCGACTACAGTCTATTCTATAGTCTAGACTACACTCTATTCTATAGTCTAGACTACACTCTATATAGACTAAAGTCTATTCTATAGTATAGACTACAGTCTATTCTATAGTTTATCCTTCAGTCTAATATATAGTCTAGATTACAGTCTAGACTACAGACTAATCTATAGTCCAGACTACAGTCTATTCTATAGTCTAGACTACGGTCTATGCTATAGTCTACAGTCTATTCTATAGCATAGACTAAAGTTTATTCTAATATATAGACAATAGTCTATTACATAGTCCAGACTATGTCCTATTCTAGATTATAGTCTATCCTATAGCCTAGACTACTATATATTCTAAAGTCTAGACTATAGTCTATTTAATAGTAGACTAGACTAGTCTATTTTATACTCTCGACTATAGTCTATAGCGTAGGTACTTTGGTCTACATTTTCTTTCTTTCTTTTTATTACATTTCGTTACACTGTGATTATTTTTCAACAATTACGCTTGGTCGCATCTTTTCCTAGAAAAATTTCAGCAAAAAAAAGCACACACATGAAAAATCCAAACATTGCAGCAGTTGTAAAGTTAATGGTGGCAAATGAAAACTGCCACTGCAACAACCACAATTACAAGAAGTAACAAACTAAATTATTAGCATCACTGGTAATAAAAAGAAAATTAAAATTTGTTAAAAAAAAAGGAAAACTAATTGTGCTGTTTACTAGACTCTATACTTGGTGCATAGTAAGGAGGTAATACTTAAGAATTTAGAGGAGCTTGAATCAGATAATCTAGACAAATGATATATCTTTAATTAAACATTTAGAATTTTAAGAAAAATCAATTTAAAATTTAGTTTAAATACAATTGTTTACTGTACTCTACACTAGGATACAGTAAGGTGATAGTTTAATTTTAAGAATTTTGACGAAAATATTTGGAAAACTATAATTTAGAATAGATTGTGGTTTAGTTACTGAAAATCATAGATTTGAGTTAAGTTTTTTTCCCGAGCAGCATTTTGTTTTAATTTAAAGAGAAGCCACCCTATTGCTCACACAAATCAGCTGCAACATTATTTTACATGCAACTACATTTGTAATGGCCTAAAGATAAACATGTTATTGGAACAGGGGTACAATTCCTATGTTCAGTTCAGTAACAGCTATATATTGTGATGCAGTTTATAATTAGTTTATTTATTTAATAATTAGAGCATAACACTAACTTGAGCAGAGTTAACATTAAATATATGTTGCATAAGTTTTGGGCGGGAAAAACTTTTTCTCCTTATTTCTATAACACATGGAAATGTTATATTGTATAATTTTGAGGATTAGCTAAAAAGAAAATTAAGTTATTTACAGAGGACATGGTCAATATAAAGTTTAACCTTAAGGTAAAACTTTTCTTCTGTTAACATTGAGATATTAGACATTTTACTCAAGGTTAATTTGCTTAGGTGTTGCTGCACTCAAAAACAGTAAAACCTAGATAAATAGCATTTTCTGTAAATAAAGTTTTGGGCTGTGATTCGATTTGTGGTTCTCTTATTTAACCGAAAATTTTTATTATTCAAGCTGTTGTTCCTGTTTCTCTGGTTTGCTTATTAGCAAGGTTCTACTGTAGTTGCATGTTTAGTTAATTTAATTTTTCTAAACTTTTTGCTGTCAAACTTTTTTTGAATCCTATATGTTAGTTTTGTTTTATGTATGAATTGTTTTTTGTCTAGGTTTTATTAAACTTAATTTATGAATGACAAATGAGCGAAAGTTTAACTGTAGTTGGAGGTCCTTTTACAAAGTTAATATTTGTCTAAATGTTGTCTGTTTTTTGTTGTTGTTTATCCTTTTTAACCTTTTTTTAATTAGTTGTTGTCATTTATGTGGTTTAAGTTTTATTCCCCACCGAGTTGTTTTATTTTTGTAATTTTTTGCGCCTTTAATTGTTATAAATGTCTAACCTAGACCAGACATATTAATGAGTCCTTTTAACTTAAAAACAATGATTAATAACGGGGTTTTTTAATGGCGGTCACCAATGTGGCCCTGAGGTCACCTTATTAGGGATAGATATTAGGGTTAAAGGTAAAAAGTATGATTTTGAAGTCATGGTTTAACTGGGTGGCGAGATGCTAGTGTTTTAGTTCTAGCAGTCTGGAAGTCGCAGGGGGGGGGGTGAAAAGGCCAATATACACATTTTATATATCAATGGTTATAGATTGTAAAATATATTTTTAAGATTTATTTCAATTGAATCATTTTCATTGTAAATTATTATATTTCTTGATATATTTCTTTACTCTCCAAAAAAAACTTGTAAATTAATGTCTGTCTTTGGCCCCCTTGGCCCAATACTCCTCTAATTCCCTACAATCTCCAAGTTAAGTTTTATTCCCCACCGAGTTGTTTTATTTTATTTTTGTAATTTTTTGCGCCTTTAATTGTTATAAATGTCTAACCTAGACGAGACATATTAATGAGTCCTTTTAACTTAAAAACAATGATTAATAATGGGGGTTTTTAATGGCGCTCACCATGTGGCCCTGAGGCCACCTTATTAGGGAAAGATATTAGGGTTAAAGGTAAAAAGTATGATTTTGAAGTCATGGTTTAACTGGGTGGCGAGATGCTAGTGTTTTAGTTCTAGCAGTCGGGAGGTCGCAGGGAGGGAGGTGAAAATGCCAATATACACATTTTATATATCAATGGTTATAGATTGTAAAATATATTTTTAAGATTTATTTCAATTGAATCATTTTCATTGTAAATTATTATATTTCTTGATATATTTCTTTACTCTCCAAAAAAAACTTGTAAATTAATGTCTGTCTTTGGCCCCCTTGGCCCAATACTCCTCTAATTCCCTACAATCTCCAACTATTGTACAGAAACAAATGTTTCCTTCTATAAGTTAAGCAAACCAAAATTTTAAGAAATTACTCTAACTTAATCCACTAATTGGCCCGAATAAGTAACTAAATCTAACCTTTAGATTAAAAAACTATAAATTTTAAGTTTTGGCTCTAGAAAAAAAAAGCATCAAAAAAAATTGGATAAATTTTTAATTTTCTTATTTTTTTCTTCTCTTCTTTTTTTGATTTTATTCCACACAACTTCTAAAAATAACCAAAAAAAAAAAAAAAAAACAAAAACTATATTTTGATTTTTGAAACAACTCTTTTTCTGGCACAAAATCAAAACAAAAAAATCTATATACAAAAACCTTTAACGAATCGAATGCTTTGTAAATTATGCCACCAACACTACTTCACAACAACTTTATCTTAAAACAAACGGAGCAGAAATGTTTCCAGTCTCACACAGGCCATGAGCAGCAATAATCAAACAAATCGTAAAAGGGCCTTTAGTACACCGCACATAACACCAGCATTTGCCCAACAAATGTTGGCCAGTTCAAATACCGGCTCAGAGTTAACACCAGTACTACTACTGCCCTCTTCGATGGGCGGTAATAATGAGCAAAATATTTATTTCTATAATAAAACTTCATCTGGACGATCATCATTTTGTGTGGATGAAAGTATGTGGCCTACAACCGGTGGCCAATTAACGCAATTTATCAATGTCAATGATAATGGTAATCCACCTTTGCTGCAACAATTGGGTTCGGATTCCAATATTTATACGAATTTGGCTTTGAGCAATGAACGTTATAAATTGCCGGTAGAGTTTACCACTTCATTGAGTCCTGGTGTTAGCATAACCACTACCACCTCCACACAACGTGAAGACGATGAGGATGATGATGAGTATGAGGATTTGATTAACGATAACGAAGCCGATTTGGAAGAATCCACCGATCAGTTTTCACCTTTACTCTATCCGGTTTCACAACCTATAGCCATAAGTGCTGGCAATAGTCCAGTACACAAACCCAAAAGTAATTCGGCAGGAGGTTTACGCAGTGGTCAAAGAAGTCCTAGTCGTGCCACATCGCCCACAGCTGGACATCATCAACAGCATCACTTGGCCTTTAGTGCTAGTCCTACCACTGGGGCCTATCCGTTTACCCCCTTTTATGCCGTATCACCGGATGTTAAACAAACACAAATGGCCGCTCAACATAAAATCGCCCACAGTTATGATCCCTCTTTTGGTTCTAACATAAATCGTTTACCTTTGCCACAGCAAGGACAGCAGCAGCAGCAGCCGCCCAAAAAACAATTGCCTAGACAACCACCTCCGCCCCAACAAAGACATTCACAACCCAGTAGTAGCAGCAGTCATTTTACCAGTCCCATACAGCCCAGACAAAAACTATCTACCGGTTCAATTGAAAGTGCTCCGGGAGCTATAATATTTGCCACTTCACCTACTTCATCGTTAACTAACAGGTCAGTAAATGAGAGACCTCAACAACAACAATACACTGTGCAACGTCTATATTGTTCTCCCTTCATCGTTTGTGTATGTCTCTCTATCACTCTTTCGTAATATCTTTCTATCTCTCTTTAAGTTTATTATTTGAATTCGTCTTTGTATTATAAAGCATTCGTTTGTTACTCTTCTAACTGGTTAAAAAAAAAAAAATTAATACGTAATTCGTATATGTCTGTGTGTTTTCTTATTATATACATACTATACTTGTCTCTTTCTAATTCTAATACATAAATAATAATAAATATCAAATTTGGCTGTTAGCAAGAAGGTGTATTCATACAAGGTGATCTCTGATTTGACAGTTTGTTGTATAACGGTCATCGGCAAAGAGTTCTCGTTTAAGCTTTCTTACTCTCTCACGTGCGTAAGCTTTCGGTTGTGGATAACTTTAGGTATGAAATAGTACTTTTACCATAAACAGTACCTTTTTGGGACTGAAAGTACTAAATTACTTTTCGGTTTTTTTTATCCACAAAGATTACCAGTAGACTATTGATTAGTCTTTAGACTAGAATATTTACTAGTCCATAGGTTAGTTCATCGATTAGCCCGTAGATTAGTTCATCGTCTAGTTTATTGACTAGTCAAGACCTAAGTCCTTAGATTGGACACAAGTTAATCCATAGACTAGCCAATAGATAAGATAACTAGAACATGGATAAAGCGTTAACTACTCAATAGAAAAGACCATAGACAAGTTAATGGACTAGTTAATAGACTAATTCGTAGACTAGTCCATACACTAATTTTTTGACTAGTCCAGATCTAAGTCCATAGACTAGTCAATATATAACGCCATAGACAAGTCCTTAACCAATCACTAGACTAGTCCAGAGATCTAACCATAGAATAGCTCATAGACTAGGCCATTGCCTAGAACATAGATTACTCCACAGACTAGTGAATAGAATAGTATATAGGCAGGTGAGTGGACTAGTCCATAGGCTAGTTGCAGATGAATTTATAGAGTAGCCCTTGGAGTAGGTCATACGTAGGTTCTTAGTCTAATTCAAAGATACAACATAGACTATACCCAATATTAGTCCAAGATAAGATAACCGAACATGTTAGTTCATATATTAGTCCTTAAATCTGTTCATAGACAATTACATAAACTAGTTCGTAGACTAGTCCATACAATAGCTTATTGATCATAGAGTAAGTAGTCTATAGTCTAGTCAATAGATAAGTCCATAGGCTATTCAATAGATAATACCATAAACTGATCAATAGATAAGTTTATTGACTAGTCAATATAGGTGAGTCCATTTACTAGTCTTAGACTAGTCCTTAAAATGGTCCACAAACTTGTCCATACACCTGTCCACAGACTCGTCCTTAGACTAGTCCTTAGATTAGTCCATAGACTAGTCCATAGACTTGTCCATAGACTAGTCCATAGACTTGTCCATAGTCTTGTCCATAGACTTGTCCATAGACTAGTCCATAGACTTATTCATAGACTAGTCCGTAGACTTGTCCATAGACTTATTCTTAAGCTAGTCCATTGACTTGTCCATAGAAGATAGGTTTATAGGCTAGTCCATAGATAACAAACAAATCAGAATAATAAAAAGAGCTCTCTTTAGAACATTGTACTCTCAAACACGATTAAAAGGAACAAAAACCAGTCAGAGAGCTTATTCGGCTCTCTCTCTCTTTGCCGAAAACTGTTTTAAAATATACAAAATTCTCTCAGAAATGATAAGTGTTTTCTCACCTTTTATGAATTCTTCCTGATGATTATGATGTTATAAAACTTTCATTCATTTGTTTTTTGAATGTTTGTCTTTTTTCCTTTGATTTTGTTCTTATTTTTTTTAAGTTTTCTTCATCACAATTTTTCACTCATATAATTCCTAATTGGTTGATAATTGTTGTTACCACATATATAAAACTCTATAAATTAGCATGACTTCATTTAAAATAACTTTTCTTTTAATTTCTTAACTGGTGTTTTTTAATAAAAACGACAAAAAAGAAAAGTGAAGTCAATTTATTAAAATTAATTATAGATTTGAAATTAATTTAGTTTGAAAATTTAATTATTTTATGTGATAAAAAGGATTGGCTAAGTTTTTTTTCTTAATTTTGCAAATTGGCTTATAACATAAAATTGACTTTATAATTTCCGAAAAAAAAACTATTGTACAACATGGTTTTGTTACAATATTTTATTAAAACAAATGGCATGGTGTTTGGTATGGAATTTTGTTTGATAAACAACTATTAACCACGTTTTTTGACTAAATTTCAATATTTAAAAATAATTTATATATATTTTTTTCTAATTTAACAGGTGGGTATATAAATTTTAAGAGGTTATTATATTTAAGTTACTAAAAAAATTATTTTAGATAGTTTTTAGTCATAGGTTTAGACATCTTAAATCTAACTTAAAGCCTATTACAACTTTATGACCCAAAGTTGTAGTTCAACAGAAAATTAAGTACACTTTAAGTAGTTAAAATATTTCAAGTGATTACTGCCGAAAATCCTTTTATTGTTAACTTTTATGTAAATAATAAAGGAAACGTAATTTTCCAAAACATAAATCCGCCGATTACCCCAACTCCTAGCTAGGCTTATTTTCTATACAAACAAAAATTCTTCTAAAAACGTAAAAAAAGTAAAGTACAGTGGAAAATTTTTGAACTGAAGGAAAGCATTATTTTAATTGAAGTTTAAAAACTAATAAGAAACTGTATAGTGACAAAATTTCCCAATTGTATTAATATGTGGACGATTTGGATATAATTTTGACGAAAGCCTGGTAGCGTTTCACTTGCCTGCCTGAAAACAGTCGTCTGAATTATTGTTCAATTGTTATGTGGGTGTGTCCAAAACTTCGGGCAGAGCTATCTATCTATCTATCTATCTATCATCAGTAGCGAGCATCGATCTATCGAGCATCGTAGCGAGCTAGCTATCGAGGCGAGTCAGCTATCTATCTATCTATCGAGCGATCTATCGAGGAGCGAGAGAGCGAGCAGCGACGAGGAGCGAGCGAAGCGATCTACAGCGAGCGAGGAGGAGGAATCGAGCTAGCAGCGAGGCACGAGCGAGCTACGCGAGCGATCGTAGCTATCTATATAGACATAGCTAGCTAAGCGATATGGATCTAGAGTATCTATCGAACGAGCGAGGACTATCTATCATCTATCTATCTATCTATCTATCTATCTATCTATATCTATCTATCTATCTATCTTCTCTATCTATCTATCTATCTATCTATCTATCTATCTATCTATCTATCTATCTGTCTATCTATCTATCTATCTATCTATCTATCTATCTATCTATATTATATATATCTATCTATCTACTATCTATCTATCTATCTATCTATCTATCTATCTATCTATCTATCTATCTATCTATCTATCTATCTATCTATCTATCTATCTATCTATCTATCTATCTATCTATCTATCTATCTATCTATCTATCTATCTATCTATCTATCTATCTATCTATATCGATCTCTATCTATCTATCTATCTATCTATCTATCTATCTATCTATCTATCTATCTATCTATCTATCATCTATCTATCTATCTATCTATCTATCTATCTATCTATCTATCTATCTATATATCTATCTATCTATCTATCTATCTATCTATCTATCTATCTATGTGCAGTTACATCTAGGATTATGGTTAGCGCAATATAGGCCCGAAATTTATTTACCGAAAGTCACCGAAAGTCACAATGTCAGACAATAAATTTTGATTTTTATGAAATGTTGAATTTATGTATTTCCAGTTTTTTGTCAAATTTCCCCACTGTACTCGAAGTAATAAAAATAAATGCGCCACAAATAAATTGTTGCTCCAAAAAGGAAGAAATCGTAAAAAGAAAGCCAGAAAAGCATTTACTCTTTAATTTCATTCGTACCAGAAATCTCTCATACTTACACACCACCACCCACTCTCCCTATATCTGATAACCCTTGACCACAGACACTCTTCTTGTTGTTGTTTTGATAGACAATGAAAAAAGTTCACAGTAAAACATTTACAATGTTTACTTTTGTTATTGCGTAGTTGAAGTAAAGAATGAGAGTGTGGTAGTGTAAGGGGAGTGAGAATATGATATAGAGAAAAAGTGCGTGTGTGGGAGAGTTTTGTTTACAATCCTTAGCTGTTTAGGTGTAATTAAAACGTACTGTTTACATTTATAACCAAAACAAAGTGTAGAACTAAAAGTAGATAAAATGTGAAAAAACATAATTATGTATAGATTGACACACATTTATACAAAAGAATGGAATAAATTGTGTTAAAAAAATAGATAAAATTATGAATTTTAAATTGAAATATTTTCATACTGTTAAATTATTTGTTTTTTACTAGACATTCTCTGATTGACATTTATATGTACATTTGAATGTTTATGTAACATGTTTATTCCGTATTTTATTTTATCTCTTTGGGGAGTTTTTTTTTTTTTTTTTTGTATACATGTTTTTCACTCCAATTTCGTTTTTGCGTTCTTAATAAATACAATGTTGTGCGAAAGTCCCTTTGTGCTTTTTAAATGTTTGTGGAGCCTCTAATACAAAACAACAAATTACATTCCTACATACCACAAAACAATTTATAACAACAGCATGACATCACTACTCTAATTCCAGAAAATGAACAAAAAAAAAACTCCAAATATATGTATGTTTGGTTACGAATTTATGCGCAATTTCACTGTGAAGCATAAAAACGTAGTACAATTTGTGTTTTTTTTTCTTTTGGAGCCTCAATATATAAACAGAAAAAACACGAGGAAAGAAAAGGAGGAAGAAAGGGGGCGAAGGGAAGAGGGGGGAAGAACGAAAGGAAGAGAAGAAAAAACAGAACAGAAAGGAGAACGAGAAACGGAAAGGAAAAACAACGCAAGGCCGGGCAAAAGGGGGAGGGGACAGAGAAGGAAAGACGGGAGAAACGGGGAAA